CATGACGTCACCATTAGTACATAAATGAATGCCTGCTTTAGAAAATCATCGGTTTGAGGAATATTTGTAAAACGTATACAAGTAGAAAATGGATCAGTGTCTAACGCTAGTACAAATCGTTATAATTTCATCATCATCTTATTGTACGTCCCCACAGTAGGGCTCGGAGCCTACCCTGAGATAGGAGTGACTGGGTCATAGTCAACCACGCTGGGCCAGCTCTTCTCAGACATGTGCAGGTTGCAACACGATGCTTTCTTTACCGTAAGAACGTCGGATAAGTGTACAATGTACAATTTGCAATAAAGATATTGCCTCAAATCTTATACTCGCGTTGAAAGACAGTATCGAAAGTAGTATGATATTTTCTCAGTAAAATAAATAACGTCTGAGAACCTCAGACTCTTGGACTATATGTTCGCTTGCCGCATACTTACCGCTACTTCGCTGGAATCTGCGTGGGTAATGGAATAATTTGACGCCAAGAATGACATGGCCACCTAGACTGATACCGTCTTTATTATTATTGTTATAAAATACTATTATATTCTAATTTTAATGATAGATCGATTTAAGTAGAATTTAAGGGATTATCTTAAAACGCTTTTTATATTCAGTTAATTATTTGTTCAAAAAAAGAGACGAGAAGAAAGTTTTTGTCTCATTCACGTAACGAAATAAACGAAATCGCAACGACCTTCTAAATTACTATAATTTGACTAAATCTATTCGTAGAATAAAACTTTCATATTAAGTTAGGTTTCCACTACCAAAACAGTGTTACAAAAATGATATACCCATAACCCAATCCTTCGTGTTTCTAAAAAAATATTTTTGAAGTAGATTCTCACGGTTGGTTTCTGATTATAAGGCCTTGTTCTGGACTGAGTCATATAAAAAAATAATAAATATCCCATGTCCGTGTCCTGGCTCTAAGCTATTTTTAATCTTACTATTATTATAAATGCGAATGTTTAGATGGATGGATGTTTGTTTTATACAGTATGTTTAATTTCAATTCGAAAATCGAACACTTAGATTTCGTGTGAATTCATTCACTCATTTTTTTTTTCGTTGAATAAAACTTTCATATTAAGTTAGGTTTCCACTACCAAAACAATGTTACAAAAAAGACATTCTCATTCCCCAATCCTTCCCTGTCTCTATAAAAAAATTAAAGTAATTTCTCACGGTTGTTTTCTGATTATAAGGCCTTGTTCTGGACTGAGCGTTGTGATGGCAACACTCTTAACGGCACACGTGTTCTGTACGGAGGCGGTTGTAAAATAATATAAGTATTTACCACAAAAGCCGATCGCCCACTTATATACGTACGTGTCTCTATTACAATACATTTTTTTATATCTAAAACTAGCTGTCGCCCGCGACTTCGTCCGCGTGGATATAAAAAAAACTTAATTAGTGTAGCCCACTCTTCCATCCATCTAAACATTCGCATTTATAATAAAAAAAGTAAGTTAAATAAAAAGCAGCTCCTCAAGGCATAAATTCGAAAAAAATAATTAAAAAAATCAATAAATAGTATCCTATGTCCGTCTCCTGGCTCTAAGCTACCTTCTCATCAATTTTCAGCCATATCGGTAAATCCGTTCTTGAGTTGTAAATAGTGTAACTAACACGATTTTCTTTTATATATAGATTAGCTTGTATGTAGCTTCGCAAGAGGGATTATCTTTATTTTTTACATTTGTTTAACAGTTACTATAGATAGCTACAGGAGGTACCGTAATCAGTGCAATAAATCTAGATTTTTTTTAACATCCTAATACAACAACAATACTTTCTTGGATTTTCTTGCACATACTTTTCGTTATCTCATTTACGTCCCTACTTAAAAGTTCAAATATATCTTACTAATATTATGAATGTTTGGATGGATGTATGGATGTGTCTATAAATGCTGAATTGATAAAGATGAAATTTGGCATACATATAGAACATAGTCTGAAAGAACAAATAGGCTACTAATTATGTTTTTATTTAATTCCACAAGCGAGAGTCGCGAGCGACAGCTAGTCTATAAATTCGTGCAGTCAACATCATCAAGTAGTGAACATTCACACACGCAAACCTTTTAACGCAATTATTATGTCACTCGACGTGACAATCAAAGTAATCAACATCTATTTCAAACACGCGTAAGGTTTGGGTCCAACAGACGCGTGCCGTCAAATTAAACCTTGTTATGAGTTCGTTTACCTGTGAGTGTGGAAAGGCGTTGAGTAAACGCAAACGAGACTGTACTTTTGATATGCAACTGACTATGTAATAAACGAATAGTTAAATATGTCGTTTAATTAAAAGAGGAACTAAATAAAGTAACAGTGTGGCATAAAAGATAAAACTTTGAGTAAATTAAGATGATTTTCGGTGCTCTAAAATAAAAGAAGAAAAACTAATAAGGTTTTATGTTCTTACTAGCTTTCGCCCGCGGCTCCGACCGCGGGGAATTACCAAAAACATTATTAGTAGCCTATTTGTTCTGCCAGACTGTTCTATATCTGTCAAATTTCATCAAAATCCATTGCGCCGTTCTGAAGATATCTTCAAACAAACATCCATCAATCTAAACATTCGCATTTATAATATTAGAAGTAGTACCAGTGTTTAAAGGAAATTAATTTAAATAATAATCAAACTTATCTTGAAGATTTCGTTAAAGTTGAGTTGTAAGGATTTTGGATACATCCAAATAGATTGACGTATCAAAATGGGGTATTTAAAAAAAAATTTACAGAAGTCAAACATGACTTTTAAAGTTTAAATAATGATAACTTTAAATATTGATTCAAAGTTTAAATCGTAATATATACTATCGAAAAGTTTACGCAACATCACATAGAAATGCAAATATCACCCGTATATCTATAGTAAATAAGATCATTATCGTATTTACTAAGTATTTAACGGTTTAAATGTAAACTTTATTAGTAAAAGCAACTGTATTTCAATTTAATAAGGTTTATATTTGAATGTGGGTATGATAGTATTAGAGTCCTAATAGTCCGTCACCAACCTGTAGTGATAACACTATTTGGTATCAACAGAGCAGGTGAATGACTCAGGTATTTGTATGCAGGGCCATTAGGCTGTGTACACAGGTTATCAAAATTGAAATTACTTTATGATAGTGTGTACGAAGTATGAGTAAGTTATAATAAATTAAAAAAAATGAGGCGAGAAGTGTTTTCCGTCTACACTAGACCTAATGTTAAGCTATTTTGTTTTGTTTGTTTGGTAGAAATCAACCTTTTGAGCCATAATATACTACTAGCTGTCGACGGCGACTCCGTTCGTGCGGAATAAACAAAACTTAATTAGTAGCCTATGTTCTATATCTATGCCAAATTTAATCTACATCAATGCAGCCGTTTTTAAGATACTTTCTAACAAACATCCTTTCATCCAAACATTCGCTAAATTTGCATAAAACTTGGAGGTTGCAGTTATGGCGACATTTTTCCTTATACGAAAGCGTCTAGATATGTAACATAGTTCCCACGCTGTTGTGAATATATCATACGTGGGTTGTTACAGTCCCCTGAGGCATATATCATTTGATGGACCACTTCCTTTGTAAGATATATAACATACATCGCCAGTGGCTAAGAAAGTTAATAAAAGTGTTAGTTACTGATATGATATAGACTAGAAAGGTGCGGTAAGTGTCCGGATATCCGTAGTTTCTGTCTACACCTGTAGAACACGGGTGTGATAATGTAGATAACATTTTAGTGACACCGTTGAAAAGCAAATATGTCGTTTACGTTCTTTTTAATTGCCACTGCATTATCATTTGATGTTTATACAAACAAAAACAAACAAAATAATAATTAAAGGCTTACATGACATTCTATAAAATAAAATTTCAATAAAGTCAGCAAATGTCAACTATAATTAAGAAAATAAACATTTTTAAACATGCTTATCTTAACCTCTATTTTTTGTATTTTCAAGCATAATACACAGACTAATAACAGAAAATTATGACAGATAATTTAAAATTACGCTACCCTTAAAGACTTAAAACACGAGTGAAACCGCGGAACGCAACTAACATCATACTTTATCTAATTATTACAAACGATAATACATGGTCCGTGTAATCGATACGCTGCGGCTATCTCGTGTTTCTAGGTCAGATTGTGGTTCGTATAAAAATTTGTGATAATAAGCTAATGACGAAAAGGAAATTTAATATTTACATTACTCTGTGGTTTTACTATAACTCGTTTTTATCAAACACTTTCATATCTTATTCAAACTTTCGTGAGACATTATACTAAACTGATACAAAAATGGCTAAATACTCACGTATATTCGTCCGGTGGCGGCACCGACTAGTTTCGAGCCCATCGAGGGCCCTTCATTAGGATGAGTGGTACTGGTATTATTTCGCGGACGCGGCCCGTCGCTCACTGTGCGCCTGCGCTCTTAGGTCGCGTCCGACGCGAAACTAGTTAGTGCCGCCACCGGACGAATATACGTGAGTGTTTAGCCGTTTTTATATCAGTTTACTTTCATATCTATCTTTTGGTTTAAACTTCGAACATTACCCGTAAAGATTTCTGACGTGTCTATGGTATAAAAAACTGAACGTCACATGTTTTTTTAATTAATATCAGTGGGCTTAGCTCGAGTGTTTATAACAAGCGTCATCGTAATCGACATTTGTGCGTAAATTACGCCAAATCTTATATTAATTTTGACATAATTCAGGATAAATATACGATGACGCTTAACGCGAAAATCTATAACTTACTATCGATTTAAGGTGAACACCGGTTTTTTAGTGTGACAAGATTTTGTACTAACAGTAAATTTTAAAACCAAATATACCTAACTATCCATATTCCTACGAAAATCCTTGGAAGATATCTTACTTATAGGAAGGTTACAATAGAAGGGACATGCATAGTTCATGCACATAAAATTACTTGTATTACAGTATTATAGTAAATATAATTTTTGTTACTAACCTCGCCCCAACGATGACCTGATCTCTCGCAACGTCAAAGAGCAGCTGAGTGAACGCACGCGCTTCTTTATCTTCAAACATATCGCTGTCCGTCGCCAGTAGGTCTGCCGAATAAAATCTTTATCAATATACGTAAATAAATATACCGATATACATATCGAGGCGAAAATTCCTTGTTGCTTTAATGCATATAATTTAGGACACAGTTATTTGATATTTTATTATATCTCTTTGGTAATACTTATCATTGCTATCTTTTTTATATTTTTTACGATGTGTATATGTCGGTCATAAATATATGTTGGTTTGTATTGTAATAAATGAAAGATAAAATTTACAATTACGTGTCATAACTTCACACTTTGTCTTAGCAATTCTTCTCAACAATTATTTACACTAAATCATAAAAGAAAAACTACGCACACCTTTTGCTATTTGAATCTTTGCATATAAGATTTTAATTGAATTTTGATGAAAGATTTTACTATGGTAATAATTTATTAATGCCCGGTTTATTATATTCCAGTCCAACGGTTGATTACAACAGGTAACATGTAAAGTCATACTGGATTGCCATGTGAGGGTTCCAAAGTGGATTCACAAGTTTTCACTTATAATCTAGCTGAATTTTGTGATTGCTGGACTGGAATACTGTAAACGTATATTTTGCGCGTGCAATTAGGCGAAGGACACTATCTTAGTATATGATATCACCAACCTAAATTATCAACTATCAACAGCATAAAGTCCGACTATAATACAACCATTACGACCACTATCTACAAAATGACGCACGTAAAGTCAATTTAATCTCTATGCTAAGCATATTGACTCTGAGACACCGATGGTGTTGGTTTTTTAATTAAAGCCGTTTGTCTTTTGTTTTTTTTTTCATAAACACGACCAGTGAAAACGCACACGCATTAAAGTTAATGTATTGTTAAATAGCGACGCCTCTGTGTTTGTGTGTCCGACTTTATGGTCATTAATTATGATTGGTCAAACAGCCTCTAGACTATTTTAATGGCCGTCTGCGACAATTTGAACTTTTTAGGCTTACATTTAGTACGAATTGATTTTTTGCTTTGATTTTTCGACACGTGTCTTTTACCTAATAACAGTAACAGACAGCTAAACTAATTCTTTGTCCGAGGTAGCTGCCAGCTCTTCGGTCCCCTGTGATGTCGATAATTTTTTTGGATATGTCTTTAAAAAGTCTTAAAGCGAAATCTTAATCTTAATTCTATTTTGTGTTGTCAGAGGTATGTACCGTGTACCGGAACACGTATAAAAAGAATAATTGCAATAAGCGATCGTTTATTTTGGGCGTTCGGCCTCCGATCGTAATTGACATGACGACCCTAATGATGAAATCTTAACAAACGAAATATTAGACAATCTCGGACACTATTTGTTAAATTGGAAATGTTTAACACCACAAGACAAATAAAAAAAAACATTTAAATTGAGAAAGTTATTTTGTATTATTTTAAACCTACTTAAATTCAAAGTAATAAACTAGCGACCGCAGACCTGAACATTTGATATAAATTCCAGTTTGATACCTTCACGCGTTTTTTAGATAAAAGGGTCTTGACAGACGGACGGACGGACAACCAAGTGATCCTATAAGGGTTCCGTGATCCTATAAGGAACCCTAAAAATTGTTACAATTACAATGTTCAGATTTAACTTTGTCTAAAGCTCGATGTGGATGCATAGTATTACTTTAAAATATAAAATGTGCCCTTTAAAACATAAAAACTTATAAACACACTGTTTTAATAGTAGAGAATATTTCCCATCACCATAAAATATGCTCTTTGTGTAAAACAATGGAACATACTCTGATATATTGGAGGCGAAGTATAGCAAAGCATAGCATTTGTGAGTATAACTCACCTTGACGATTTATTATCCTGAAGTCATCTTCGGGAAGATCACCCTTGCTCAAAGCGCCGAGCAAGATCAGCGTCGCCACTTTGTATATAAACATCTTTGTTGTTATTTGAATATCTGTAAAGAAAACAAAAGTAAATCACATCATATAATTAAGTAAATCGTGGGTTTCCGATACCAAATTCTAAAAGATAAATTATAACTGCATGTTATATGCATTTCTATATCTAGATATATTTATAAGTTACTAGTACTAGTAATACTAGCTTTTGCCCACGAGTCCATTCGCATGGGATTAAAAAAAAACTTAATTATTAGCCCATATGTTCTTCGCGAGATCCATGCAGCCGTTCTGGAGATATCTTCAAACAAATATCCATCTAAACATTCGCATTTATAATATTAGTAAGATATATTTTAGCTTTTACAGATTTTATTGCCCACTCAGAGTCGTAGTTTCTTAATCGTTAAATAGTACGGTTTACTTAACATTTTACAATTCCTTAGTGTATTAACCAAAAACTGATTCATTCACTTTGTAAGTTTTTAAGGATTCACCGAAAACTTTCTCTATTTTATCGCCAATTCGCAAGTTTAATTTTTTCCATATTTTAACATTATCGTGGGAATTTCCTTTCTATTTGGAACTCAATTAAATAACAGAGATATTTTAGATTTTTTCTTAATGTTAGTCATATAGTGAAACAATTTAGTCTGTGAGTTTGCATAGACAGACAGGTCTACGCGAAACAGGTTTCTAATTAAGAACTATCTAAATCTTATGAGTTATAAATAGCGTTATATTTATTTTAACAAAAAAAAAATTAGTGTATGCTTGAATCTCGTTCAATAATTAAGATTAAGCAAAGCCGACAGATGGCGCTGCTAACTCATTCGAGAAGATTTAAGTTACCTTTACATAGGTGCGTCCCGGAGGCCTAATTTAGTACTCTTTCCCTTCCCAACCTCTTTCTTATAAGGAAAGGATGGGAAGTGTAAGTGGACTTTCCGGATGAGAGGATGCATGGGAAGGGAAAATATTTTCTTTCTGTGCATTCTCTCCTCCGTCGATTAAAGGTAGGCAAGCATATGCAATTTCGTATGTCTATGGGCAACGGTCACTTCGCTATTTCAGCGATTTCAGGTGGCCGCTCGCTCGTTTGCCACCTTATGATAAAAAATCTATGGATTTAAAACACTAGATGTAAACTAAGATCAATACATTTGCTACAATCAGAAGCAAGGGTCAACTAGTGTGTGTACTATCATTCATCTTCGTTAATGCACTCCGTGTACTGAATTATTTTGACCTACTTTCAAACTCTAATAGCGAGTTACTAAATGTTAAAACGCTTTTCGGTAACACGAACATAACAAAAGTGTTCAATTGTTTGCTCTTTTTATTTATACTTATTACTATTATCTTCTAATAGTAATAACTGGGTGACGACCGCGGGTTTGTCCGTCTATGAGTTTTTCGAAACTATGCTCTACATCTATGCTAAATTTTCTCGTGGTTCGTTCAGCCGTTTTGGAGATACCTTTTAACAAATACATCCATCTAAATATTCGCATTTATTATAAATACTAGCTATTGCCCGTGACGCCGTCCGCCCGGAATTAAAAAAAAAACTTAATAGTTTATGTGGTTTTCCATACTATGTTCAACATATACGCCAAATTTCATCGGGATCCATTCAGCCGTTCCGAAGATACGTTCAAACAAACATCGATCCATCCATCGAAACATTCGCATTTATCATATTAGTAGTATAAATTATATAAGTAAATCAAAGCTCTATCCAAGCGATGATTTAAGCTGACACTTGTATTGACTATTCAATATACTTATACGTATTATTTCGTAATTAAGAGTGGTATAATAAATTATTTTAAACACGCTTCCGTACATTCAATTGCAGGCGAGTTTAAAACAGGTGAAGTGGTAACAGTGATAAGAAACAACGTTCTAATCCCGAGTTATTGATGCACTCGAAATTTTTTCTTTTATCGATGTTGCAACGATAAATTATTCTTACCAACTAACCATTAAAAAAAACATAATAAAAATAACAAATCTAACTGAAAATATAAATGCGAAAGGTTTTACTTAATTCCAGGTGCCCTAAATTGACGTGGACAAAATTTGGAACAAAAATTAGTCTCTAATATAACAGAAAACTTATTCAATTCTTAATTTAATTTCCATCAACTCTATTGAAGTGGAAAGTAACAAATCAATTAAAAACAAAAGGTTACATTAAACCTAGTAACAATATTTCAAATAAAATAACTTCGACTCATTTCAAAATCTGACCTCAGGGGCGTCTATCCTTTGCTTGCGTGGGCAGGCTGGGACCTTAACGACCCGTTGTTTCCATTTCCCATGCAGTAACAGGATTAACATTGTTTGACCTCAAGCAGGTAACACAGATCTGACCTCAATGTCAATCACACTGCGGATAACCGCCGTGTTTTCAATAAACTTTACTTGGAATTTGATATTAAATTCTGTCACGCTGTTGACCTGAAGGGCATAGGTTTTCAATTTGCACACACTTTATTATGACTGTTTTATTATTTACTAATCGATTTTATTATTATTTATTATACTTTGTCGTATATCTCTTACTAATTTTATACAGTGTGTCCGAAAATTCAACGATAAAAAGGTAATAGTGTATAGCCAGATCGATAACTACACGGGGAAAAATACAAAAAAAAATCCAACTCTTTTTGTTTAAAAGTTACATTAACTTTTGTAACTTTTCTTATAATTTAATATCCTCCATCATATGATTAGACACTTTGGCTATTATAAATAAGAAGATATTCCTGCAATCAAACTTAATTAATTAAACTTTCTAATATATACAATAAAGTTTAGATGGATGGATGTTAGATCTCTAGAAGGGCGCAACGGATCTTGATGAAATTTGGCATAGACGTAGAACATAGGCTACTTACTAAGTAATAAAAGCCACAGCTGTTAATCTCTTGGCCTTTCATGTAAATTCAGGAACTTAAGCGTATAATTCTAAACTGGTTATCTCTGTATGAATAATATTTAATACTCTATATAGGGAGCGTCGGTGGCTCAGGGGTCACGCACTTGACTTGCAATCTGCAGGTCCTGGGTTCGAATCCCGCCATGTACCAATGTGTTTTTCGATTTCCGATTTACATACATATGTACATTCATCCGATGTTCTTACGGTGAAGGTAAACATCGTGATGCAACCTGCACATATCTGAGAAGAAATTCAAAGATAATGTGTGAAGTCAACCAACCCGCACTTGGCCAGCGTGGTAGACTATGGCACAATCACCCTTAACTTAGGGTAGGCTCCGAGCACCTCGGTGGGGACATATAGTGAGCTGATGATGACTTTATATAATAAGCAAAACATAGTTATTTTTTAATATATAAGTTGAAGTGTACTAACAAATACTTTGTAATTTGTGGATTAAACGATTTATTTTATTTATATTTGATAACATATCATGTCGATTGACCTGCTTTGATAAGAGCACAGTTTACTCAGCGGTAGTAACTCTCAACTGATTAGCTGATACGTGTTATCAATATCTTGCAAGTAATTATAACGAACACTCGAAAATGTACGAAGTAAATATTTTAAGAATCGATAACCTCATAAAGTTCACTGACATTGTATTTAATTAAAAAAATAACTACTAACCGCCGGTTTTTAAAACCTAAATCCACTTTTAAAACATATTGTTAACTTAATTTGTTAAACTAACTTAACTAGCATCCCAAAGCAATCAGGGACCCTGATTGCTATTGGGATGCTTCAACAGTATTCCGTAGATACGTACACGTAGACACGGAAGACCCTGTTAAAGGGTCCTTTCACGGAATATGATGTTTAGGGGCCCCAACTTGAAGAAGAAAGTAGCAGTAGGGAGAATTCATCAAAATTAACTCTGAAAATATCTGTTTAAACGATTTATATGTTTAAGAATCATGTTAAGGCTCTCCAAGGTCATACTTTTTAAATTCATAAACATATGTCTCTCTCATTCTGTTTAAAAAAAATGAGACAACACATTTTTGTATAGACATTTCAACGTTGACAACCCCGGACATGTTTATTGAATACGTGCCTTTAAACATGTAAGCCACAATCGCTTGTAATATACAGACATAAATATATATATGTAATATAACTATTATAACATGTAAACATACGAACAATGGACTCTCTCAAGACTTGCTGAGCGAATAAGAAAGCTACTGTTTCTTGGAATAGGTCGAGACGCTACGGTGACAAATATATCTAAAAGTTAAGGACAGTATTGTTAAAATATTTAATTTATTAACAAGACACTATTTAAAAAAAATATAATTGAAAATTCCAATAAAAGCGTCGACGGCTTTAGGGGTTCGAATGCCGCCATGTACCAACGTGTTTATTTTACATATGTACATTTATCCGACGTTCTTACGGTGAAGGAAAACATCGTGATGCAACCTGCACATATCTGAGAAGAAATTCAGATATGTGTGATGTAAACCCGCACTGGTGCAGCGTGGTTGACTATGGCCTAGTCACCCCTAACTTAGGGTAGGCTCCGAGCCTCTCGATGGAGACGTATAATGATTTTAACATCAAACCGTAATCTTATAGTGTTCGTAATTACTTGGCTTTTAGTTTAAACGTACGACTTATCGGAGTTACTTTAAATTCTTGATTAGAGAAGACTAACAACAGAAAGGTGTCAAGTATCAATATTGGTTGTTGGTGAAATCACAAAAACGAGTCGACTCCTATACCAGGGGTGACAAGACTAGGGTCGCTAAATATTACAAAAACAGAACGAATAGCGTGAAATCGCTCATTGACAGCTGATATTATTGTGGTATATATGTATATCCAATGAACATATTATTATATCTGTATTTTCAATAAGTTATGGTACTTAAGTAGCCACTTGTAGCCCTCGTAAACTTTAGACGCAATAAAACCCCGATATCGTTTCTAAAAGCATTCGCGACCCACGGGTTGAGCGGCCCTGTAAGCATCGTGCTTGTTAAGGCTTTATGTTTACCGTGTTGGTAACGAGCAAGTATATAAATTGTCACAAACCCAGTTTCCTTTATGTTATATCCGGTTTCATACATTTCATGACAGGAGATATTTTCAATGTAACAAGAGAAATCAGCTAAAAAGATACGATTGAACCCAATAATCGATCCTAAAATAATTTTATTTACTTTATATGTACATAAGAAAGGACCGATAGCCCATTATCAGATTTCTATTGTAATTTCTATTAAAGTATTATACATAAATAATTCTCTCCCATAATCAAAGATGTTAATTGGTCAGTGAGGGAGATACTAAGCGTAGATTTAGTATTATCCAACACTGAAACGATTATACGTGCCGCAGTAAAACTTAATAAGGATTGTTATATCGTAACACTTTTGTCCTATCTGTTTTATGCAACAAAAATCTAGATATAGTAACTAATTTACCGCCCCCGAAGTCTGTGTCTGGGTACCTTATATAGATCCAAAGCTAAATAAGGTCATCTGACCATGGCTGGTATCTATTGAACATAGTCAACTGCCACCAACAGTGGACCCTAACTGTTCAAGGTGAAAGATTTAACAGTGGCCTATCTCTGCTCTTATATCTTACTAATATTATAAATGCGAATGTTTAGATGGATGGATTGATGCTTGTTTGAAGGTATCTCCGGAACGGCTCAACAGATATTAATGAAATTTGGTATAGATGTAGGACATAGTCTGGAAGAACACATAGGCTACTCATTAAGTTTATTTTAATTCAGCACGGATTGAGCCTCGGGCGACTTCTAGTTTGCATAATATAGGTAAAGAGATAACAATGGTATTTTACGGTTAGAAATATCGTTGGAAAAATAAACATAATTTTCATTTCTAAACATCATTAGTAATCATCGGTAAAAATCGTTTTATCGGATAAGTAATGGTTATTAAAGTTTAATTCTTGTCCTGTCTATCGATTTACGCGTTGAAAGTCTTTTGTCTACAAAACTGCGTCACAACATTATTTTTAAAACTCCACTGAGTTGCGACGTAGCCAATGTCGAGTGTACTCTGAAAACCCTCTTTAAATCAGCTCAAGGACTATCATGGGACGCTATAACAAGGTTCTGTCAGCTTATTTACGAAATATTCTAAATAAAGTATAGACCTTCCCAGTTTAATATAAAAGATAGGTTATAAATTCAAGTGTTTTGCTTCCGCATTCAGAATTATTGTATGGCTACTAAGTGAGATACTTAGCGGTGGTTTCTGTTACAACCACTTAAATTAGTCTATATGTGTATATGTTAACTAATTCAATAGTAAGTTTCGTAACTTAACAGTTTTAAACTATTATAAATCATAAAAATAAACGCTTAGACTAGATTAAGTTTTACGACTTAATTTTCTAATAACATTGCGAGAGGCCATTTAATTCAGTAACATTTACTACTTAACTAATTATCAATTTAAAAATATTATTACAAATAGATTTTTATAACGATAAATACTTAACTATAGCCCCGCCGTCAGATTTCAATAGCAATTTGTATAAAAAGTAGCTTTTTTATAACTATACTAGGTGTCGCCCGCGACTCCGTTCGATCGGAATTAAAAAAAAACTTCATTAGTATTATGTGTTCTTCCAGAATATGTTCTACATCTATGCCAAATTGCATCGAGATCCATTCCATTCCAAGTAAGGTGTATGTATGTATCTATAATCCACTGTGACTTCTTCTGGCCTTTTTTATTTTTTAATTATTTTGTTTAAAACAACTTTTTTGATATATTAGCGGCTAACTGAATTCGCCGAAACGGCGAAACGACAGCTGCCTTTAGACGTCTACAATTGCAGATGCGTTCTCTATCTTTAACTGACGACGGAGGAGACGCACAGAAAGAAAATATTTCCCCTTACTATGCATCTCCTCAATCACTTCTCTTTCTCATTCTTTCCCTGTAAGAAAAGGTTGGGAAGGGAATGGACTAAAATTAGGCCTCCGGAACGCCTCCTGGAAATTCGCAATTAATTACCGGCTTGGATTACATTTTTTGTCACATATGTATGGATTGACTTGCCACTTTCAAACAACAAAAAAATTAAAGGCATAAGTATATGTATGTCTTCACATATAGACCTATTTACAGGTTCTAATTTATTTTGATCTAGTTGTCGCCTGAGACTTTGACGCGGAAATAAAAAGCCTATGTGTTCTTCCAAACTATGTTCTACATCTATGCTAAATTTCAGCGAGATCTATGATGCTGTCTTGTAGATAACCTTCAAACGTCCATCCATCTAAACATTCGCATTTATAATATTAGTTAGATTGTATTACTAAATTGATGTCTTGTCTTCTTTACGAGCAACCAATCTTTTGAAAGCATAAAGATATCTCTACACGGACTGCTTTTACCTACATATGTACAGCGATTATAACATGCCAATCTTACCGTAGACTTCCACTAGAGTGATACTTGCAATATATTGTTATCTCTTACATTCTCTTTGATAAAAAAGAGAACACATTATTCATTGAGACTCGCGGTTACGTACACAATATAATAATGGATCAACACCTTTACTTTAAAATGTTTTACAAACAAAACACGTGGTAATGTTAATATATTTACAGTTTCGAATCTAACCGAAACACAGCATTTGCTTCTTAAACTATGAGAATCTACATCGAACGCCTCTAATTTGTTTAATGTCCCAAATAAAATGCTAAACATTCACCGTTAACTGCGAACGTAAAGTTGTATGCGTTTCCTTTTAGTTGAAAAACAGTACAGGAAACACATTAAAGTATTAACGTAGAGAATAAAATGATACGTTAATTAGGGTAGTCGGAAAGTATTTATATTACAGACTCCTTCCGCACAGAAATTAAAAAAACATAATAAGTAGCCTATGTGTTCTTCTAGACTATGTTCTTAACGTGTCCAAATTTCTTCAATATCCGTTGAGCCGTGCCGGAGATAGCTTGAAACAAACATCCATCCATCCATCCATCCATTAGATTAGGCGGTAAGTTATCAAGGAGGATAAGATTTGAATGATTGGTACAGAAAATCAAACTATCTATCTGGTAAGCTAGCGCGTATCATCTTTCGACCAAATCTCCACTAACACCAGGTGGGATCGTGGTCAAGCGCTAGCTTATAAAACGTAAAAAAAATCTATATATTTATAACTAATGTATTTCAAGAAAAGTAAATCGAAAGCAGAATTTACGGAAAATAATTCTTTCAACACAGATAATAAAAAAAACAAAATTATACGTCCGCCATTTTGGTTTGCGATGATTGATTCGTGTTTTTGCCACGAGATCCGGCGTTCGGTGTTGTAGCAAAAAACGCGGTACGCAACGAGTCTCGCCCATTCGAGATGCTGTTATTGATCATTTGTCAGATCGTATTACATGCTTAAACATTGTTATAAGCTGTCACGCTTTAACACTAAGGGGTAGACAGAGATCATTGTCTATAAGCAGAATACCCTGATTGTTGATAATTTGTTAAGATCAAATTACGCAGACTGTCGCATTCAGAGCAGTTTAATGATTACATAAACATCACTTAGTGTAGATTAAGACTAAGTGACCTATTATTGATACAATTAAACATTTAAGTATCCCATTTCCTATACCTACGAAAACGAACAAAAAATGGAATCTATCGAATAAAACTTACCAAGTAAATTATGAAATGAAATTCTTAAAAACACACATACATATGACAAATAGTATAATAAAAAAATAGTTTATTTAAAAACTTGTCTAAATAAATATTTTACATTTTTCGACTCAAATGCACTTTACACTTGAGACGTATTTCATGTAAGTTTAAATAAATAAGGAGTTAGCTACTTATGCGTATCCATGATCTAGAGTCGGTAAGATAATCTTTCAACGAAACTGGTTAGTCTACACTGGCTGGTTGCATTTTAAAATGCAAATTTGTAAACCACAGAAGTACGTGAGGCTTAAAGAGTCGTATGTGAACTTAACACCTTATTCTATTCGTACCTTAATGACTTTATTTTTGGAACGTCACGATTTTCAAATGATGCTAATATTTATGCAAATATTTGTTAGAATAAGTCTGTATTGCATATTTTATAGAACACGGATTTTAATTAACGTAATAATATAATGTTTTAAATTTCTTTTTTACTTATTAACAGAGGAAATTAGTTATTTTTACTCTACCTAACCCCCACATAAACAGTAATAATAATTTAATATTAAAAAAACAATACGTCTATTAAGGAAATATTGCATAGCAAGGACTATAATTCGTCCCATTCTAAAGATTAATATCATTCCTTATGGGTATTTGTGCGAGTCAAATTGTGGACTTGGTCAATATTTATATTGGAAATTGACAATTTGAAATGTCAAGATATATAACCTGTTAAAAAATTAACTTCGATCATGTTTCATTCAAATTACTGCCATTTTATTAAATTCATAAAGTATATACCCCCAATAAGTTATGTATACTTAGTTTCTTATTACTTTTGAAGCTATATCGTAAAACTTTGTTTAACTAATTTATCAAATTACATAAACTTGAGTGGGCAGGAACAAACGAGCTGTAATTTCGCAAACCAAAACCTGTATTTACTACGACAAAAAAATACTTAAAAGAAAAGTTTTATGTTATAAAACATCCGGAAACTTGTGAGTACATACAAAAAACTCCAAAAAAGTACAACAAAAAAGTTGTTTCTTAAAACAAGAAACTTTTTACTTACCATAAACGTTATGTAGGTGAAGTTGCAACGAAAATCACGTTCTGACACAAGAATACAAAACCCATTCTCATCCTGGATTACCAGTTCAGGTCATTGTAATTCACATAAGTTTTTGTTCGAAACTATAACTTGTTCCGATCACTGTTTATGTACGTTTGTTGACACGAAATGAGGTTGTTGCCGTTTGAACTAACATCTGGACCTAACGCCAACGTTAACACTATGATTTAATAATTCTATACAATATTCACTAAATAATAACACAAAAGTCTTTAAAGTTTGTAGATTATACGATGTTCTAGCAGGTAAGCGCGGACGGCTAGTGGTCGACTCGCCCGCAGGATGAAAAAAAAAAACAAAAGTTTGAAGTCAAAGCGGAGCAACACAACACACAACACGACCGGCGCACGAGTGTGCGTGAATGAATATGCGCCGCTCGTAGCGCGATCTCGGAAGACGTCGGTGTTATCACTAGATAAATTTATTTTCCATATATTCTTGGACATTTTTTTATTTCATTTGTGTGTATTTTTACTTATTTAAACTTTTAACAGACTGCATCGACATTCTAAAAAGACTTAAAATTAAATAAACTGACACGAAATGTTTAAACAAATTACACTAATATCAATACCACATTAAAAAGCCGATTGTTTTTGATTATAAAAAAACACTTTAACATAATCACTAGTAATAAATCTTTTGTCGAGTTTTATTTATCAAGTAAGGATAAACAAGATGTTTATAAAAATATGAAACAAAATCTACACTAATTTTAGGAAATATAAATACTTACTGGCAGCACTATCGTTTCCCGCCCAACTTAGCGCAGGCAAGACGTACGCACACATAAGCACATTTCTCGTTGCTGGAAAGCTTGCCTCCGCCCGCGCGCCGCGTCCTTGCGGCCAGCGACCGCGTTACAACACTAACCTTCTGCCAAACCATACCATGCCTTTGCTTTACGATAGATATTGTAAACAAAATTATTACCCAATGCAACGTAATGTCGCAAATCAGATCATAAATTGCCTTCCTTAATTTATTGCTTATTTGGTATAATGTTTTTATTGTTTCTCACTTAATAACAGTTCATTTATGTTTTTGTTTTGTTACTTTTTAAAATCTTGCGAATGGCCTTGATGTCTTCAAGCCGAGTTATGATAGATATGGCTAGTCAAAGTTAACTCTGACTTTCTATGAGGTCTTGGTACTTTCGCTACTGTTTAACTTTTTAGGCTAATTCCAAGTAGAAGAGACAGACTTCTTCAATTTTAAGGCACCCTCGGTTTGAAACGGAATCTATTTTACTAATATTATAAAGGCGAATGTTTGGATGTATGAATGGATGGATGTATGTTAAAAAGTATCTACAGAAAGACTCAACGGATCTCGATTAGATATAGACGTAAAACATAGTGTGGAAGAACACATAGACTTACTAATTAAGTGTTAACTACATTATATGTCCATTATGAAATAATAGTCAGGCACTTTTTATTGTATTCATTTACTTACCCTTGAGATAATAAACAGAATGGTACAGATATAAAATACATTACGAACATATGGTCGTCTCATTTACAATATTGGATTTTCGTAATATTCGCCTACCAGGGTTGCCAGATTTAAAACGTATTCGGGCATCGATTAACAACGACATACTTTTTAAGTCAACTTTCGCAACTACATTTATTAACGAATCTAAAGATCGTTGTTCCTTGATTTATGCCAAAACATATCCTTAAATACTTTTGTTTGTTTTAAGCTCGCTAAGCTAAGATACAGGAGCAGCCGAAGTCAAGACGCTAACAGGAAAATCGGTCGAAAAGACTAAAAGATCTAAAAATCTATACATACCTTACCCAAGACATGTACATAATTGTTATTGATGGATGAGTCGTTTGTCATTTCTTAATTATATTACGTGTCTGAATTTTTATACATGGTAACACTTTATGCTAGGGTTATGCAAGTGTCAAGCTCTAGTAATTCAAATAAAATTTATTTTAAAAACTGTAGATTTAGAAACACAGTCAAAGTGATAAGTAACTTTCCTTTCTTTCTTTCCTTTACTTTGATAATTTAGTTTTACTGGTGATGGCGTAAGAAGTATCTGCTAACAGAGGTAAGTAGTTACATATTTCATATTTCCTTTTCATTAAATTAAATTAAATTGTTCTCGTCACTGAGATTCTACTGAAATAAAATAATTTATAAATAGCTACATTTTCTTTTAATAAGATTAATGACAAGTTTATTTTTTATTTCATTTACTTATTTACATTTAGATAAAAATTTGTTCAACAAATTAAGACTAAATCGTTTTCTTGTTCGTACAAATGTCACGGAAATAACGACATCTGAATTTAAATTGTTAAATCAAAGTCGTGCGTGAGTATCCCTTAATACCAAATTAGGGTCATGTCGTGACTTTTATATTGTCGTCTCTCTTACTCTTTCGGTTTTTAAATTGACTATCAAGCATCTGTCTCACGCTGTAATGATTACGAATCGAGATTATAAATCTGTAACAGATTAAATAAGTCAATCTGTTAAATTAAAAAACAAATCATTAAGTTCAATGCAGTAATTTTAAAGGAAATCGCCACTAAATCATTTCGTTAAACTTCGTATCTAAATAATTAATTTATGAACATTGTTTTATTCGTCACGACAACTTTGTGAATATTATGGAGCCAAATTACAAAATATTTTGTGTAATTAGTATTTTTCCTTTAATTTAAGAGTTTTAATTTAAAAAATACACCATTCTTTTTGGCATCCATTTAATATTGTGATAAATCAAGTCATTTTTATTTCTCATGTGTTGGTTTATTGTAAATATTTCTTTATGTTTTATATCAACTGATGTACACATTAATTACTTTAAAATTGTTTTGTTGCAATTTTTTATCAGGACACTTTCGATTTTCATACCTTATAAGGCAGGACAAGTGAAGCCAAATAAATGAAAAAGGCCGGTAACGAACATTCTCTTGTTAAAAAAGTCTAGATATCTACTTAAAAGAAAAAACTTTTTGGTTTAAGTTAAGATCAGTGTTCCAGGTTTGAAAGACAGATTAATAACTAACTATGCCCGCGATTTCGTTCGCGAAATACTGACTTTAAACTGCGCGCGGTGCTGGACAGTACTAAGGCACTGCAACATCACTTTTTTTTCTAAAATAAAATATTTTTTCTAAAATAAACGTAGCATAATTACTCCTTATTAGATCAGCTAACCGCAATAAAAGTCCCGTCAAAATCGGTCCAGCCATTTCAAAGATTAGCCGAAACAAACAGACAGACAAAAATTGTAAAAAAATGTTATTTCAATATTACAAACCGACACTCCAATGATATTTTTATGTATAGATAAAAATTATAGTAAGGCATATTACGATATATTTTAGAAGAGAAGAGAAGAAGTAAATAATAGTCTTTCTTCTATCTCAGGACTCATCAGATTCATCAAATTAACAGCTTAAAAAAATTATTTGTATTTTATCCACTAAAGAGTTATTACTACAAATTAAAATTGAGAATGTAATCGGTCTTATAAATTTTTATTATAGATTATTCGTATTCCAGGCGTTTGAAGTTTTAATTATCGAATCAAATTAATAGCCGTGTGTTTGGGTGGTCCGTTTTTAAATGTTTTAAGAAAATTCCTAATCGCACAGCTTACGTTATATAAAGTTTGTTAGATATTCTAACCACTGTTAAATAAATTATTCCATAGTTTACTGACTTTTTAAAATAATTTTTAATAAAATTATCTTCGTTTATGGCCATTAATAATTCTATTTTAAAGACTTACTGGCTGTCAACTCTGTTCGCGCGTTAAAAAAAAAACTTTATTAGTAGCCCATGTGTTAATCCAGATAATGTTTTAATTCTATGCCAAATTTCAGCGAAATACATGCAGCAGTAATAAATCCAGCAGCGTATCTCGGGACCCAAACTGGCCGCTGACACATCGGTAGGCCAAGGTACTGCTGGCGAGACGCCGTAGAGCTGGATCTGCGAGAGCTACAAGCGATGGACTGGCAGGAGAAGGCTCAAGACTGGCGACTTTGGCGATCTCTTGTGTCCGAGGCCAAGACTCACTGGGTTGATGCGCCAGCGGAGTAAGTAATCCATTCAAACATTCGCATTTATAATATTAGTAAGAAGCAAGATTGATCGTAATTTTTAAACAACAAGTTAACAAGTGCATTGTAACTTTCATATCTGACTAGCCTAATATGGTCAATTGTGTTAGTTTTTAAAATTTCATGACTGGACGATGTGAAAGGCTCTCGCCGAAATACTTGAGCCGGTTTCAGTTCAATATTATTCGGCGTTGGTATTTCATTTGTTATAGTACGTACTATTTATCTGGCCCGGTGCACACAAGTTAATCTATAGATCATTAGCTCCTAGTCGCCCAGTGGTCAGAGTGCCACAAGTTCCTTGTCTTGTGTCCTACAGCCACCCTCTGAGTTATTTAGTATTGTTTATTGACCAATCAATGACTCAGAGTACTGGCAATAAGTGCATTATTTATTATTCTTCTTTTTCGTCTTTTAACATTTAAATGGCCTGTTATAAAATATTAGGGCAGTATAACTTTGTTACCAATAATCACCATTTAAAAGTTTGTTAAACGAGGTATTTCGATCAAATATTTGGCGCCAACATAAATTACTGGCCGTAATTAAAGTGTTTTGTATCACATAAATTAAAAAAAAGGATTACACGAAGATCCGTAGCGGTGTCGCTTTCTTTTTTTGATTTTTGAAACTAAAGCCAGACTTCCTGTTTTAAAAAGAAATCACGCGAATAAAAATCATGAAATGTTTATCAAAAACATCCTTTTACGGCGTTTTAAAATAAAAATCAAAGTAACAAAATGAAAGAAATTTAAAAACAAACAAGTTTAAATTTATAATGAAAAGTCAGTCCAACAATGTACGCGGATACTACGCGTAAAAATTGAACAGTTCTTAAAGGTTAAGAGCTATAATAAAATATTTCAACCACCTTAAACATTAAAAAAATAATAGTTGTAACCCATCATCATCATCATCATCAGCTCACTATACGTCCCCACCGAGGGGCTCGGAGCCTGTTGTAACCCGCTAAGTACTTAATAATACGCTCATCAGATTTCAAATGCAGCCAATAACAGAGTTAATTGACAAAAATGCTCTTATGAAAGTTTACTTCAACTGAAGTGCTACCTTTGAAGTCTATAGAAAGAATATTTTTCTTACAATCCGCTATCTCGTCATATAAGTTATGTTTGCAAGAACAGTTACACTGTTATTAACTCATCCTACCATATTAGGCAGATATGTGTCTCCTGAAGATCGTGCACCAAGAGATGCAGTTAATAACCTAAATGCAAGACAAGT